AATAACCCCTGCAAAGGGAGCTGGGAGGTCCCCACAGCCCCCAGTGTTGGATGCAGACTCCAGCTTCAACCTTGGCAGGTGGCAGGGAGGTGGGGGGATCAGGCATCAGGTTGTCCCTTTTTAAAGGTAACTTTCCTGCAGTGCCCAAAAAACTACCTACTCTGAAAAATTTCTTCTTCTTCCCACTCTTTCAAAGGGGATGATTTCTCATGACTTCAACCAGGAATGCATTCATATTTTATGTAGGGTCCAGCCCTACAGGGTCCCATGAGTCCCTCTCTGCTGATGTGGAGATGAGAAACTGTGGAAATAAAAGACACAAGACACAGAGAAAGAGAAAACAGAGTTTGGGTCCAGGGGTCTACTGGTACCAAACCTCAGAGACCAGCAGTGGCCCCGAGTGCCTGGATGCTCTCACGTTTATTGAGTACAAAGCAGGGGGCAGGGCAGGTAGGATGAGGTAATGGTGGTCAGTGATAGGGTCAGGTAAATCAAGTGTCTTGGAGATAGGGGCCCAAGACTGAAGAAACCGAGGCGAGGAAAAAACCTAAGGTGTTAGCACTTTTTTCGTACTTGTTAAGAAATAACAAGGTCACTAAGATTTATGTTATTATTACTAATTTTTATCTTCTAAGAAAAAGAGGAACCAGGTACAGAAGCAGAACTCAAAAGTAGACATGGAACGTGACTGCCGACGCACAGCACCACATAGGGACAATTAAGTCCCCGGATGTCTGTGGGCCTCTCTGACAGTCGTCAGGCTTACCACAAGAGCTTGGGAGAGCAGAGGTTTCTCCTCACTCCCCCAAGGAAGGAGACATCTCGGCCATCTTGGATGTCTCCGTCCCCAGCTGGCTAAACAGCGGGCACTTTCACAGCACTGACACTGTCGCACAGCTGAGGAGTCCTCCAGCAGCCCTTATGCAGACATAACAGAGGGCTTAGAGCATCTTGCCTTAGGGTCACCTCTTTTCCAGTGCCACTTTAGTCCCATGCTTCTTGACCTGAGACTTATTAGTAAGATTAAAGATTATATATGTAAATATTTATGATTACATATGAATAGCTATGTGATTATTTTATGATTATATATAGGATAACTATGTAACTATATCTCTAATTCTTTTCTAATTCTATGTTTATATGAGAACATGCTGAGGCTTCAGACCGTTCCTTGGCTCTTGAGGGGTTCCCTCCCTCAATTTTAAATGTGCCTTTCTGTTAAAATAAGGGGAAAAACTGGAAGATGCCTCTACACTTTGGTTTGGACAATGTATTGAAGGTGTAGAAATTCTGCATATAATTCTGCCCGGGAGTATAGAGTGAAGTAGAGTCCCAAGTAAATCACATTATTTTTCATCTATGAGTCAAACCAAGTAAAAAAAGAATTCATTTTTCTTTATATAACTGTATAGACACAGAATAGATTTCTAACTCTCTGAGTGAGAGTTTGGAATCTGAGTGAGAAATCTGGTTTGCTCATATTTTAAGAGTTTTGAAGATTATTTCACGGGTGTTAAATAATGATGATGATGACATTGGTAATAATAGCTTACCCAAGGCCACACAGACCCAAATGACTTGGGCAGGATTTGAACCCAGATTTACCTGGTGTCAGAGCCTCAGGTCTTGTCACCATTTCACACCACCCTTGGACAAAGAGGATGTGAACACAGTCACACAGCATTACTCATCACACCACTGCTGTACGTGGCTCCTTAGAACAGTACTTGGGCCTATGCAAAGGAATGAGATGATGGGGCCCTGGGCCTTGTGCCAGCATTTACAACCCAGGGTTGCAGTGCAGGGAATCAGCCACAGTGAAGCAAACTGGAGTACTGCAAGCACAGGAAGCCACTATCACCCTTGACACAGGCGGTGGAGGACGAAAAGGTACCAGGAAGAGCGGGCCATCCAGTGATGCTTGGAACCTCAAAAGTCTACTCCTCATGGAGACCCAGACACTTCCAGAGAAGCCACGTGCGGCAGAGACAGAAAGAAAGAACCTGGTTTCTCCCTTCTGGGTCCACTCCCGTCTCCTGACGAACCTCCACTGGCCAAACCCAATCAGCAAACCCAGCAGCCTGGAAACCCACCCTTACACTCACAGCAGAGTAGCAGAAGGGCAAGGCTGGATCTGAGGGCACACAGATGAAAACAGGCACGACGGTGCTGGGTTTTGTTTTTTCACAGAATCAGCACTTTACTGTTTCCTTAAATAGTAAATCCCCTATTACCTTTAGATTAACTTGATTTAACAGAAATAGAATTTAAAATCATGTATTTTCTTCCTTTGCTCCCTCCCTCCCTCCCTCCCTTCCTTCCTTCCCATTTTTTTGAGACAGGTTTCACTGGGGTCACCGAGGCTGGAGTGCAGTAGTGTGATCATGGCTCACTGCAACCTCCCCTCCTGGGCTCCAGGGATCCTCCCACCTCAGCCTCACAAATAGCTGGGACTACAGGTATGCACCATCATGCCCAGCTTATTTTATTTTTATTTTGTAGAGTCAGTGTTTGCCATGTTGCCCAGGCTGATTTCAAACTCCTGAGCTCAAGTTTTCTGCCTGCCGTGGCCATTGTTTCTTTCTTTCTTTTTCTTGAGTAATTTTAAAAACACCTATTATGCAAGCAGATCTCTCTTTACACCTGTAACTCACTGAACACTGGAAAACAAAGAAAGAATTATTGGCTGGGCTGGGTGTTGCATGCCTGTAGTCCCAGCTACTTGGGAGGCTGAGGTGGGATGATGGCTTAAGCCCAGAAAGTTCGAGTTCAGTCTGAGCAACATAGCAAGACCCCATCTCTTAAAAAAAAAAAAAAAAAAAGGAAGAAAAAAGAAAAAGGAAAGCATTGATTGAATACTTCCTTATGAAGAGCTTGTACTCCTATTTGCCAGGCTAATAATAATAAGGAGGATGAATTTTATCTGACTTACATCAAATCCTATGGTCATCAAGCTACTGTCTTTGGAAGACTAACGTATTGAAACATTTTTGAGGCGGCCCTTCCCTTGAGTGTATACGGTATTAGAAGCTGGCAAGATTGTGCCGAGAGTCCTGGGTATAATTCTTCGGAAATGTGAGGATGGGAGACTTCTGGGTCTCTGGAGGTTCTAGGCAGAGGTCAATTGTGCTCTGGCCCGACCGCGGTCCCTCTCCGAGGAAAGGGGAGAGCTAGAGCGCCCTCTGGGGACAGCCGGTCCGGTGCGCCGGTGGCCGACACATCTCAAGCCTTTCGACAGACTGAGCGGTCAGGCGAGGTCTCAGGCCCCCTGAGCTCAGGCCAGGGCGAGGCGGGACGACTTCCGGGGGCAGGGCTCTCCTGACTTACAGGATTACAAAAAAAAGAGTTTATCTTGGATTTTTTGAAGGAGATGGCTAAGTAGGGTAAATCTGTGGTTAAGATCACAGACTTTGGAGTTGATTTTTTTGCCTTTTATTTTTGCGAGTCGGCCCCCTCTTCTCTGTCCCTGCTCCCACGGCCCCCTCACCGCGCATACTGCCACCGACACTCGCAGCTACGGCTGCCCACCTCCCTCTCCTCCAGGCTGCTGCGCCCGGGGTCTTTCTGAGCACATCAGATCATTTTGCTTAGAATCCCCCAGTGGCTCCCGCCTCTAGGATAATGACCAACGGCCTTGGCAGGATATTTGGTGCCACGCACCCTCCAGTCTCTCCTCTAATCCCTACCTTACCTGCCTTCCCACCTAGGGCCCTGCTCTCTGCAGGCTCTACTGTGTCCTGGGCCCTCAGCGGCGAGACCAACCTGTTCTTACAGGAAAATGCAAACCTCCCCAGACGGGGTTATGCTCCTGCCCTGGCGACTTGTAATTATTACCTGCCCCTCTGCCTCCTGCAATGCCAGGGCTAGAGGACAGGCTGGCGCTTATATGGGCACTGGCCAACATCCAGCGCCTGGGACACAAACTGCACCCAATGGGATGTGAACAGTACTTTACAGTTTGCATGGTGTGTCTGGTATTTGCTCAATGTTCACACACACTCAGGTGGCAGTACGTTCTAATGATGCAGGTGAGGGAACTGGGGCTCAGAAAGGTGTAGTGCTTTGTGCATGGGAGACTCAAGTGTTAGAACCGGTGCCGAGGCTCCAGGTTATCTGAGAGGAAAGCTTGCAGGACTCGGAATCCTGTGGACCTGGGTGTAAACACTCTCAGCCAGGGACTGGGTGAGGCATCGCAGGCAAGCGACTTTACCTCCCTGCGCCGGTGCCCTCCTCCTTACCGAAGACAGCAATTCCAATCCGGGATTGTGGTGAGGCTTAAATAAAACAATGCCCATTACGTGGCCAGCAGGCCTGGCTCACAGCCGGAACTATAAATGTGAGTTCTCTTTCTGACCCTCGGCTTGGCGAGGGCTCCTCCTGTTTCGGCAGCAGCTCCTCCTCCTCTGAGCTCCTGAGGCCACGGGGGTGCCAACTGTGGAGCGCCTGCCGTGCTCGTTCTGACGCGAGAGCTGCGTCGAGTACCAGCGATCCTTAAGGAGCGCGGGACCAGGGGCACAGCTTGGAAAGGACAGCGGGGGAGGGGACCGGGCTCGGGGAGGCGGGCGGAGGATGGAGGGGCCTGAAGGGGGCGTTGTCAGCCGCGGCACAATCCTTTCCCAAGTGGGCGCCGCCGCCCCTTACCACTTCGCCTCCGCCTCTTCCCCTCCTCCCGAGCTCCTGGCCGCGTCTCTAGGGCCTCAAAAAGAAAGGAGGGTCCCCGGAAAGGCGTGTGGACCCAGCCTACGCCTGCCCCCAAGGGCCAGCTCTGCCTGGTGCCGGCCCCGCCCCTGCCCGGTGCCCGCCCCCGGGAAGCGCAGGCCCCGCCCCTGCCCTCGCCCCTCCCCCCGCACGGCGCCGGCTGGCAAGAGGCGGGGCATGCGCACCGGCGGCTGGCGAGGGCGCTGGGCTGTGGGGCGCGCGCGTGCGGCTTCCCTCAGCCGGGAGCGGCGGGGGCGGGCGCGGGCCGGCGGTGGGCGGGGTGCGGGACGCGGGAGCCGGGTGCGCGCCACGAGCACCGCCGCGGCACCAGTGACCGCGAGCCCAGAGCGCGGGGTCCGGGCATGCAAGCGGCCGGGAGCCGCCGCGCTGCTGAGCCGCGGGAACTCGATCCGCGGTGACCTCAGCTAGGGGCTAGCGCGGCGGCGGCGGCGGCGAGCCCCACGGGAATCCTACGGGCCGGGGTGCGGGGCGGGGGTGGGGTGACGGCGGGAACGCGGGGCGCAGCCCGGGCGGGGCTGAGACAGTGATGAGCGAGCGCGCGGGGAGGCTGCACGCCGCCGCCGCCGCCTCCCGGAGCATCTGCCGCCCGAGCTGCTGCCCGCGGACCCGGCCATGGAGACGCTGAACGGCCCCGCGGGCGGAGGCGCCCCGGACGCGAAGCCGCAGCCGCCGGGCCAGCACCACCGCCACCACCACCTCCACCCGCTGGCCGAGAGGCGGCGGCTGCACCGCGCGCCCTCGCCCGCCAGACCCTTCCTCAAGGACCTGCACGCCCGGCCCGCTGCGCCGGGTCCGGCGGTCCCCTCCTCCGGCCGAGCCGCGGCGCCCGCCGCCCTGCGCTCGCCCAATCTCGCGGGCAAGGCACCTCCCTCGCCGGGGTCCTTGGCGGCGCCCGGCCGCCTCTCCAGGCGCAGCGGCGGCGTCCCGTGCGGGAAGGACAAGCCCCCGCCGGGACCTGGGGCCAGAACGGCGGGCGGTGCCAAGGCTGCCTTGGGAAGCAGGAAGGCGGCGCGCGTGGCGCCCGCGGAGCCGCTGTCCCGGGCTGGGAAGCCTCCTGGAGCCGAGCCGCCGCCCGCCGCTACCAAGGGCCGCAAAGCCAAGCGCGCCTCTCGGGCGCCCCCCGCCCGCACCATCGGTCCTCTGACCCCGGCCGCCCGGATCCCCGCCGTGACCCTCGCGGTGACCTCGGTGGCCGGCTCCCCGGCTCGCGGCTCGCGCATCAGCCACACCGACAGCAGCTCCGACCTCTCCGACTGCCCCTCCGAACCCCTGTCGGACGAGCAGCGCCTGCTGCCTGCAGCTAGCAGCGATGCCGAATCCGGCACGGGCTCCAGCGACCGAGAACCCCCGCGAGGAGCGCCGACGCCGAGCCCGGTAGCCCGGGGAGCGCCGCCGGGCAGCCCCGAGCCCCCCTCGCTCCTCGCCGCGCCTCTCGCCGCCGGCGCCTGTCCCGGGGGCCGGAGCATCCCGGGCGGGGTTTCCGGGGGATTCGCGGGGCCCGGCGCGGCGGAGGATGCCAGGGGGCGCGCGCCGCTGGAGCGACTCCTCCCCGGGACCCCCAGGGAGCCCAGCCTGGGCGAGCAGCCTCGACTCGTGCCGGCGGCGGAGGAAGAGGAGCTGCTGCGGGAGATGGAGGAGCTGCGCTCGGAGAATGACTATCTCAAGGTGAGCCGCGCCCCGGCGGCAGGTATTCCAGGGCGCCCTGGGAGGGCCTGGCTGCGGCGGGGACCCACCAACCCCGCCTTCCCGGGCCTATCCAGAGCCTTTTCCCTCCGGCCTTCCACGGTCCTGCCCTCGCATTGTCAGGCATTGGGAACTTAAGCCCAAACTTCTGGAAGGAGCAGCAAGACCTGCGGGTCCCCTCCAATTCACAACCCACTTCGCTTTTGTCACATCCAGAAGTCTTGCGTCTCTTCGCTGATTGTTTTACTTTTGTTGACCTGTTGGGGCAGAGGAGGCTGTAGTCGTCTTGGGGACATCAGCCGACACCCCCATCCCCGCTGAGACGTGCCAGCCTCACCTGTGGGAACAGGTGATCTTTCGCCAGGGATCTCTGGCCTGGCACTTGCCGGTGTGGCGGTTCAGGACGGTGACACGGAAGCGGGGGCAGGCCCTGCTGCGGAGCCGCCCACCCCCCTCTCCTGCAATTACAGAAAGAGCTGGGGGCCCTTAGGGTCTCCTGGGCTCCGACAGCCTGGGTAGAGGGACCGAGTCGTTTTCGGTGGTCAAGATGAAGTTCAGGAGAGGTTCCTGGAACGTGGCTGGGTTGAGGAGTAGCGGTGTTGTGCGGGCCAGTCCTTTGTAAGCACCCAGGAGCCGGCTTTCTGTGTCAGGAGAGGCCACGCCAGCACTTTCTAAGGAATCGCTGCGCCTGCTGCATTCTGAGTATTTTCCCCAGGGCCTGCAGGCAGTGGCCTCTTAGTCTCCTTAGCACTGGGTGCTTAATCCGGCTCCATCTTTTTTCCTTGGTATGGGACTGGAGCTACATACTGGGTTCCCGGGGTTAGAAGGATCCAGGTGACTTGAGAGAAAATAAGGAGAGTCGTATTGATGGCAACTGTTTTATTTATTGCAATCCTCAGGTTAGTAAACTACTCTAGTGGCATAAATCTGTTTATCTGTTAAGTCTTAATGAGCAGCCTCCAAACCCAGCTTCTTCAGTGGGTTGTGTTATTTGAGTTGTTTTCTCAGCAAATGATAAGCCTAACCACTACGGGCCCAGTTTTTGGCTAGTGAGACTGAGGATTGGGTTTTAAGGTAGATGGTGGTGAAGTATGCAGTTCACAGGGAAATCAGAGGACATTAATTGCTGGGTGGCCTCCAAGCCTAAATTTCTTATGGAGCTGCTCCAACCAGCTGAGCCCTATTTTACTTTTTGCAAGAAGTAACAGTGAGGCACAGAAAGAGAGCTGGTAAAAGATGGACTTACTGCAAGATGTTTCAGATAGTATGGTTGCTATTGCTTTCCTCACTTACTCTTAGGTAATAGACAACAGAGTGAAGTTCAAAGGCAACTATGTTTTGAGTGACTCCATCATGAAAGCAGCACTTCTGTAAATCTTCAACAAATGTAAGCTTTCTGAGGGTGACAAGATAATCTTGTTTTTGTATCCCCTCCCCCTAGCATAACCACTGACTTACAAGATTTCTGATTGAATGGTGTTTATCCAAGTGACTGCTATGCAAGGGAAAATTGAGTTCTATAAAGAAGCTTCTCATTATATTTTGGTCTTAAGGTAGGCAGTCCATCATTTCAAAGTTCATTCTTGGTGCAACTGGTTATTTGCTTTATTTTTTCAAGTTGTTAGATTCTCAATGAATGAAACATGTTTGAGCCTGGAGTATGATGCAGTGTATTTGATATTTCAGTGGATCTTCACAACAACATAGGGTGGTGGTGGTGGCGGTATCATGGTCATAACTACTGTTTCACAGATGGAGATGTTAAGAACCTAAAACAGAAATGACTTGTCTGAGGTCATACAGTAAGTGGTGGCACCTGTGCTTCCCCAGAGCCTCTGCGCCTTCTTCTGCAGTGGGATGCAGTCCTACTTCCAGGGAGGCTGCTTTCTTCTGAGCACACTTTCTGAGTTGTCTTCGTAGCTCAAAGTGTTCCCTGTGGTCAGCTTTCCTAGGGGCCCTCTGTTTTCTTTTCAGGTGAGGGGGCCATCATGCCCGTCTCTCCACTAGTCTGCGTATGAATGGCTGCATAAATCCCACTGCCAGTGTTTCATTTGTGGGGACTGTTCAGACGCCATTTACTATGGAGAAAGGTGTCACTTGCATCCATTTACTCTGCCTGAGCCCACCTCCCCACCCTTCCTCCAACAGCAGGGGAAAGAAGAGCGTGCAGGGGTCTGAAAGAGGCTAGCAAACCCGATGATTGCATAAATGCATGTGAGGTACTCGCATGGTCACTCGGAAGCTTAAATGGCAAGAGTTCAATTCCAGAAAGAAACCTAAGGATCCTAGTGGACTTTTCCACAGGTCATGGAGCCTGCCCACTTGTGTAAAACTGGGCCCAGAGCTTCAGGGACCCTATGGGGCAGGGGCAGTAGTCACGCTTTTGTAGTGGTGGTTAGCGTGTACCCTTTATAAACCAAAACTTCTCTTTTTTTGTTGTTTTCAGGGGTACCTTTTTTCTGTTTATTTTTTAAGAGACAGGGTCTTGCTTTGTGGCCCAGGCTGGAGTGCAGTGGCATGATCATAGCTCAATGCAACCTTGAATCTGTGGGCTCAAGTGATCTTCCTGCCTCATCCTGCTGAGTAGCTGGGTCTACAGGTACACAACACCAAACTGGGCTAATTTTTAAATTTTTTATAGAGACAGGGTCTGGCTATGTTGTCCAGGCTTATCTTGAACTCCTGGCTTCAAGTGATCCTCCCTTCTTGCCCTCCAAAGTACTAGGATTACAGGTTTGAAACCTCTGTGTCCTATAGGGGTACTTTTTAAAAAGGTTAGATACAAGTATATCCCTGACCCTCTACTTTGTTGGGGAGTGCTACACAGAACTAACTCTCAGGATCAGATTCAGCATCCATCTATTTCAATGTGTCTAACAAGCAGCTCGGCCCACAAATTTTACATTGCTATATTCTGGAGGATTCCAAGTAAGTGCCGTCACCATTGTTGTGCAAGATTGTCACAGTTTCTGAACTAGAATGACCAAAGCCTAATTCAGCAGAAAAGTAAGTCCAGCAAAACCTTAGGAGAATGTCTTATGGATCAGGACATTTAAGTAGAATTCTCTTGGCTTTTAGCCAGCCTGCTGTATTTTTCATTTTATTTTATTTATTTATTTTGAGATGAAGTCTTGCTGTGTCACCCAGACTGGAGTGCAGTGGTACAGTCTCGGCTCACTGCACCCTCCGCCTCCCAGGTTCAAGCAATTCTCCTGTCTCAGCCTCCCGAGTAGCTGGTATTACAAGTGCCTGCCACCATGTCCAGCCAATTTTCGTATTTTTAGTAGAAACTGGGTTTCACTATGTTGGCCAGGCTGGTCTTGAACTCCTGACCTCGGGTGATTTGCCTGCCTCGGCCTCCCAAAGTGTTGGGATCACAGGCATGAACCATTGCGCCGGGCCTGGCCTGTATTTTTTAAAATAGCAAGTATCAACAGGAAAGCGGGCACCTTCTGTTGTGTTGTAACGGAGCGAATTTGGTCGTCCCTGACTCTGCTTCCTGTTGCATCAAATGGTGCCTGGGAGACTAGGTGAAAAATGTAAAAAAAAAAAAAACAACTCAATCCAGGTAGCTGGCTTTTGCTTGAAAACACAGACAGAAAAGCACTGTTGTTGTCCTTTGACCTCTGATAAACTCAAATACATTTGGAAGTATTCAGACATTCAGCTGAGCGCTTCAGTTGAGTTATCCAAAGGCCTTGCCTTCTTTCTCAGTTAAAACCCAGGCATTTTCTTAATGTTGAGGACTATGATAAAGTGCTGGTATGTTCCTTCCCTGCTAGGTGTCCAGGACTGTGTTTTGCTTGAGTGCTCTGAGACAATCAGACAAGCCAGAGTGCTCATTGTCAACATATTAATTATGTTCTCTGTTTCCACAGGCTTTTCAGGCGGATTTAATCACTTGGCATTTACTAGCCTATTTTGAAAATGCTTTTCGTGGTCATAACCCACACCTCACCCACCCCCAAATAGTGTCCTCTTGCCATGCTGACCTCCTGCAGGGTAGGTGAGGTTTGGGGTGGGAAGAGCTGTTTCTTTTTGCCTTTCTTTCTCAGTTATTTCCTAAGAATTGTTTTTTGTTAAAACAGGTTGGTGCTAGACAAGGGCAGATAAAATTGGCTTCTTGGAGAGGAATGATTTCCTACGGGAGAGGTTGAGCTTTGGTTTTATAGGTTGCAGTGTCTCACTGCTGATCCAAGCTTACCATCCTACTTCTCATTTGTGGTCGCCTTTTGAGTTTCAAGTGCTGGCCTGGTTTGTGACATTTGGCTGCTGGGCTGCCCAGATGCCAGGCGCTCAATGTGGCCTGGAGGGCGGCACTTGGAGAGGAGCTCAAGTGGTGCTCTGCAGCCGAGGTGTCTCAGCACCTCCTTGCTCCCCGCCTCCTTCTCCTGCCTCTTTTGAAAGGGTTAACATGGACAGTATTCCCCATTCTTTCTTTACATTCACTGTCCATACCCATTCTGTATTCAGCCAGTGAAAGAGCAGCTATGATCATTTTCAGTGGCAAGCTAATGTAGACAAGGGCGGTGGCCACCAGTTGCTGGCTGGACCATTACCTTGCAGACAGGGGGAGTGGCCCTGCACCTCCTTAGCTACAGCTGGGACTCTTAGAGAACATTTCCCTTGTCTAGAGGGAGATGAGGTGAATTATTTGTATGTTACAAAAGGCAGGAGTTTTTGTCTGCCCGGCAGATAGAATTATTGCAGAAGTAGCCAGATGCATGCTTCTACTATCCAAATGGAGTCTATTTAAAGAGGAAGTACTAAAATAGAGATAATTACTGATTTTCGATATTTAAGAGAGATTAAGATTTTCATATAATTATTAATATGATCAAGAGTTTTTATCATTTATTCTAAGAAGCTGTGGATTTGGTTTTTGTTATATATTCATGGATAAAACTATCCTTTAGAGGTTTTTGTCGAGACGTGTAATTTTAATCTTGGTTTACTCTCGTGTACTCATGGTACCTCATTATTCCTCTAATTTGAGATATATGATAAGGCTTGATTTGTCAACCATAGGCAATAGGGAAGAGTCGACTGGGCAGCTTCACAATACTTCAAGATTTCATTTTATATATAAAACTTAAAAAGATATTTAGTTAAAACTGGGTTAGCTTTTCAATGAGTTGATGATCTAACACTTAAGTATCCTCCAGACTTGATGTTAATTCAGTAAAAAACTGTTGATTAAGGACAGTTTTTTCTTATTAATTTCTGAGTATGAAAAGACAACAGCAATTTTCCAATTTTATTTACTATCTCTAAATTACACCTGTCAGAAACATCATATGCTCTGCTTGATTTGGTTTTCTTAAATTTTTAGTTGGCAGATGTTGTTAAGGTTCTGCGTTACGGTTTTCTAAATTGGAGCATGCCTCCAGAAAATTAATGTAATGTTAATTTGAAAATCACTATCCATCATGACCTTAATTCCAGTAATCATAGGTTTTGCTTTTTAAATGGCTGCTGCCAGCTTACATGATTTATAATTTGCTTTTCTTAAACTTCTTTTCACTGAACCTGAAAATTACTTTTTTCTAGGCTCTCTGGGAAGAGTTGAAACACTGGCCCTGGTCCTATCTCTGCAACAGACCAATGATGGAAAGCCATTTATACTTTTAGAATCTCAGTTTCCTCATTTTAAAATGGGAGTATTAGCCAGGCGTGGTCGCATGTGCTTGTAGTCCCAGCTACTCAGGAGGCTGAGGTGGGAAGATCTCTTGAGCCCAGGAGCTCAAGGTGGTAGTGAGCCGTGGTTGCACCACTATGCTCCAGGTTGGATCACAGGGTGAGACCCTGTCTCTTTAAAGAAAAGGGGGGGAGGAGGGGCATGAATGTCTTTGCTGCACATTGCAGTGTTTTCCTAAGAACCAGTTGCTCTAATGGTTATGCTTGTGTGTTGTCATTTGTGGAGCTGTAAATGTTAAATGTTAGGCTACTTTTATTGGTTTACGCTGATGGTGGGCTTTTAAAAGTACAATTGAAGGTCTGTTATTGTTTCATTTGTCCAGGTTGTAACTTACAGTATTTACCTGGAAGAGTGTATGTTTGAAAGCAGACAGGCCTGGGTATGCGGTTCGGTTCAGTCTACTAGATGTGAAGCTTTGGACACACGTAACTAGCCTCGGTTTGGGTTTTTTGCCTATAAATTGTATAATCTGTTCCTGACAGTGTTAGTATAGGGTTAGTAATGAGGGTGAGGTGCTTAATTAAGGATATTTGTTCTGTAAATTTAGATAAAATATGAGTTATAAGAGTAGTGATTTAAATACATGCAGTTATGCTACATTAGTCCATTTTTATACTTCTATGAAGAAATACAATAGACTGCGTAATTTATAAAGAAAAAAGCGTTTAATGGACTCAACAGTTCCACCCGACTGGGGAGGCCTTATAGTAACAGTGGAAGGCGAAGGAGGAGCAGAGACACGTCTTACATGGGGGCAGGTAAGAATGTGTGCAGGGGAACTGCCCTTTGTAAAACTATCAGATCTCTTTTGAGACTTATTCACTCTCATCGCGAACAGCACAGGTAAAAGCTGCCCCCATGATTCAGTTATCTCCCACTGGGTCCCTTCCATGACACGTGAGGATTATGGGAGCTACAATTCAAGATGAGATTTGAGCAGGGACACAGCCAAACTATATCATAGGATCTCTCCCTAATTTCTTTTCAGTACAAATAATGTTGGTTATTATTTATGCCAAAAAATACTGCCATTTACATCTGGCCTGCTCAGTGATGTGGGTGGTGTGGGTGCATCTAGCCCTTGAACAGTTTTTGTAGCCTGTAATGGTTGTTTACACATCTCTATGACAATGCAGCATTTAACATTAGGGTGGCTGTGGGCTCTCCTGTTACAAAGTCTGAAAGCTAGAGACGTTTTGTACCTGGAGGCTGTATCTTGCATTTTAGGCCTATATTGCATTTCAAAAACTTTTGTCTGAGTTACAGATAATCCCAGGCATTAATGACTTCGACATGCTTTCTAGAAGGAAAATCAATCACAATTTTTTTCATGAACAGAATGGCCAAAGTCACTGTATATTTGTATGTACGGATATACATATACGCATATTGACTTAGTGTTGTACATTTGGTGATTATTCCTTGTATTGAACTGATTTTTATTAATGACTCAGTGAAACAATTACCTTTTTACTCAGAAACAAGCATTGAGATTAGGTTCTTTCTCTAAGTCTGATCCATTGGATTCATGGATGGGGTGTGAGTCAAACTTGACCTTGATTTTTGAAGATTCGGAACCTACTTCTCACTCTTGACAACCACAAGGCTCATTTTAAAGCTTTCAGTCTGCAGTTGACCTCCTCTAGGAGTGGGTAGGGCACGGGGACAGCTTCCATAGCGCGTCATCAAAGCCTCAGTGTTGAGGCACCAGTGACAACCTCCTCTTTGTGGAAGGTTTGCGGAAGGTTGGCAAGCCCTGTCCTGACAGAGCTGTGTTCTCTGGCCCCCTGAGGAACCCAGACCGCCCATTCTGTTCATGTATGTTCAGCTGACCAGCTCTTATGCTCAATCCAGTAACTTACATTTCCAGCAGATCTTCCCACGAGGACCAGGATTTATCAGGAGAGATTTCCATGGAGGAAAAAAGAAGTGAAACTTGGTTAGAGTTCACAACATTTTCAATGTTCGGATTGATCTTTCTTAAGACATATTAGGACATCTTATATTTTTAATAATGTTTTCATCATTGGTATAGAAATTCTGTAAGAACACTTAGAAGCCAAGAAGAAAAACATTTTGTGCATTTGACTATTGAGAAGTTGGTGAAGCTTTCTTCTTCAACATCTGTTCTCCTTGGTAGCCAGCCTATTGAAACAGGCTCCAGTTGAGTCCCGTCAAGTCAGTAGCTCATTCTCTTGATGGGATAGTATAGGTAGAGTGGAGAGAACCTACAGGCTAGATTGGAGGATGAATTGCCATATCAGTGTCCTTTCCAGTAGGACATTGTGTACAGCTAAGGTTGACCAAAAATCATCATCACCCCATTTTGTGCCAACCCTTATTTTCCCATAAGGATTCCCAATTTATTTGTTGTGTTTCTTGTACTTAATCTTACCTAGGATAAACAGATCTTCAGGAGATTTTTTCCTGTTCATTTATTATTATTATTTTTTTGTCTGAGGCTCTGATGCTGGGCAACTTGTTTTTTATTGTTAGTCAGTCCCTGGTTTTAAGAACAAATACAGGATTCACATAAGTGGTAAGAATCCGGGAACAAACTGAATAATAGCAGGACGAGAATGGATATTTAGGGTGTCTAAGTATAGGAGAGATTTTTCCTTGAACCTTAATATTAATTGAGTAAAGTAAATGGGAATAACTGAGTGCCTACTATTCTGGAGGCATCTGAAACTATCAGTCATGAAACTAGTCAAGAAAATCCCTAGAATGTTTTCTTCATCTTCCTCCTTCCATATTGCCCCTCCTTAAAATCTTGTAAAGCACTTTAGTAGAGTGGATATCTCGTACCTGCCGCTACATCTGTGGGTTTGGGAAGAAGTTTTCTGCATTAGGCTGCAAGACTAGGACAAGGTGAGCTTGCAGTTGTGTCTGATGTTAGTCACCTTTCTGACTTGGTGTTTGTAAGTGGTCACTGGTGCTCCTGTGTATTCATTTAGCAATATTTATTGATGGCCTACTGTGTGCTCCATGCTGCTCTGGATGCAGAGAGGAGCAAGACAGATAAGCTTGCTCCCCTCTGAAGCTTGCCTTGTTAGTGTGGGTGACAGACAATTAGTAGGAAAAAATACAAATACTATTAGATGGCTCTAAGAGGTGGGAAGAAAATAGAGCCAGCAAGAGACTAGAGGCTCGGGGGCTGATGAGGGTGGCCAGGGGAGGCTTTGCATGACCTTAGATTATATGATGGAATGAGCTTCGCAGAGATGTGGAACCAGGAGTGTTTTTAGAAGTGCGAATAGCAGGTGAGGTCTTGAGGCCTGGAGAAGCAAAGGAGCTGCTTCTTCAGCCAGGAGTGTGGCCAGGAGGCCCTGGGAGGCCTGGAAAGAAGGAAGCCTCTGGAGGGTTTGAGAAGGGGGTGAGGTGATCTGATTTGCACAATACAAGGATCATTCTGCTGGGTAGGGGGACAAACTGTAGGAGGATTAGAGGGCCAGCTGGGCAGCAGGAGCCTGTGTGTCTCCACTTACATCTGTGTGCGGCTCCCCTCCCCCAGGGTTGGAGGGCTGGACCAGGGTGACCGACCTTGATGGGGCACAGCTCTGGCTAGGGCTTGGCTGCAGAATGGAAGGGGATGGGAAGCCAGGAATGACTCCTTGGGTTCTCCTGTATTCAGGGTGCATTCCTGTGGACAGCAGAGAGTGGAGGTGTGGGAAATATAGGATAGGTGAATGGGAAAAAACAGACCCAATGTTTATTTAAAATAATGGAAAATGTCTCATTTGTGGATGGAGTTGCTTAGTCAATGCTGAGATGTGTCTTGTGGAACAGAATTTTAGGGACATTTGCAGGTATGTTATAGTTCTAGGGCAGTTAGCAGTTGTTATCCTACAGAAGTTTATATTCTTTGAAGGCAGTATCCGCATGATTCATCTTAGTGCCTAGATTATGCCTTAGAGATAAAGGCTTAGGTCAATGTTTGGTTTGAATCAAAAGGTTCAGTTATCAGCCGGGTTGATTTTATTTGATTATGTAAGGAGATACTGGGAGTGGGATAAGTTCTGAGAGGCCACAGTGAATAATCCAGTTTTGTAGTTTCTTGTTACATAAGATTTGAACAGATACTCAACTATATTATCTCACGTGCAGATTTCTAGAGGTTCTGCTGCCTGTCACACAAGTGTGGTCCCAAGCTGTTGAGGAAGTGTGAGGGATTCAATATTTAGTATTGAGGATCGGGGGTGAAGGAGAGATACACCGTCCTTTTTTGATGCACTTGGCTCATAAATCTGCTCTCTCTGGTTTGCATAGGATGAATTAGATGAACTCCGTGCTGAGATGGAAGAAATGAGAGACAGTTATTTAGAGGAAGATGTTTACCAGCTGCAGGAACTTCGGCGAGAATTGGACCGTGCTAATAAAAACTGTCGAATCCTGCAGTATCGTCTTCGGAAAGCTGAGCAGAAAAGCCTGAAAGTGGCCGAGACGGGTCAGGTGGATGGTGAACTTATTCGAAGCCTGGAGCAGGACTTGAAGGTGAGAGGGGTGATGCATGCACCCCTGAAGGCTGCTGTGGGCCAATGGGCCGGCTGGCCACATGCACATTGTCCTGGTTTTCTTCCCCTGCTTGTGTCTGTCTCTACAGATTGCAGTGTAAACAGTCTTGATTTGCTTTATGGCTTAGAGAGTATGTGTAGTTGTATGACTTTGACAGCCCAAGGTTTAAATTTGTCATAATAAGAACTTTAGAAAAATGATAATAATGGATCTGCAATAACAAAGAATTAATACCTGCCAATGGGTCTGACAATTGGACAGCAATTCTGCAGAAACTCTGAAAGATCTGAAATATTAAAAAAAAAACTATTGATTATCAATGTAGTCAAAGGCCACTCTTAAAAGTTGACCATATCACTTAACATTTTTTATTGTTATTTAGGTTTCTAGGATGCAGAAATCCTAACATTCCCATAACCCAAGCAAGGCTTGTGTAGTGAGGATCTAACGCTAGGAGAAATCATCACAAATTGTCTAAGGTGTCTTTGAGAACCACTGGGAGAAGTGGGAATGATGTGAAGAAATCCTAGACTTTATGCCATTTTTTTTCTCCCTGGGCAGCAGGGCCCTCATGACCTGATTATCAAATCATTTATCTAGAGATGAATTATGCATACTGTTCTCCTTATTACTGGAGTACTTGTGAAATCTCATCTAGCCTTTCAGTGTGATAATAGGAAAAGAATCTTTGTGATTCTACCAAAGTTATAAACCTCTAACAAAATGTCATTCAGTGTGATAAAGGGTGATTTATATTTCTCTTACAAAGATCTCTTTCCTCATTTGCTTTTAGAAAGTAAACATGTTAACTGCTTTGCTCATTCAAATGGTTTACGACACCAGACCCATAGTAGACAATTTAAAACTTGCCTACATTGAACATCGTATGCATACAGAATTTTTATTATTATTATTATTATTTTAGGATCTTGCTCTGTCACCTAGGCTGGAGTGCAGAGAGGTGCTGTTACCTTGAACTCCTGGGCTCAAGTGACCCTCCCTTCTCTGTCTCACAAATAGCTGAGACTATAGGCATGCACCACCATGCCTGAATTATTTTTTTTTATTATTATTTTTTTAGAGACAGGGTCTCACTGTGTTTCCCAGGCTGGTCTCAAACTCCTGACCTCAAGTGATCCTTCCGTCTTTTCCTCCTAACATTCTGGAATTACAGGCAGCTTATTTGTTTTGCTAGCAGGTGGGTTCAGTATTACTTTAGGGAACAGAAATGTTCACTTGCTTATTAATTATTAAAATTTCTCGCTTAAAGCACGTGAGTCTGGGCAGAATTGACATTCTTGCTGATCAACTGTGAGGGAGGAGGGTTATCAAAAGTGGGCTTTTAAAAAAAATATTTATTTTAAAGTCATTTACATTTAGCAGTGGGGGATGTGTTGTATATCAACTTCAGTGACACTAATGTTAGCAAGTTCTGATAATGCACCATCATCAGACCAGCCAGAGGAGCCTTTTAGCCTGGATGTTGATTTCATTTTTTAATGAATCTCCTCCTCCTTTAAAAATAGGCTGATTATGAATTACCAGGGTCTTTGCCATGTGGCATAATATCATATTACTTAATGATTTTGCCTCTGACATTGTCTGATGGTACCTTTAGCACATAAAAAGCCTTATATCCTGATAATGATCTCTGTGGGTCATTGCAGGTAGCCAAAGATGTGTCTGTCAGATTGCACCATGAACTTGAGACGGTGGAGGAAAAGCGCGCTAAAGCTGAAGATGAAAATGAAACTCTCCGACAGCAGATGATTGAAGTGGAGATATCCAAGCAGGCCCTCCAGAATGAGCTCGAGAGACTGAAAGAGGTAATCCAGAACTGGGGAGGGGTCCTGCCCTCTTGGGTTTAGTAAGGAGGAGCTTGGAACTGCAAGTGTCCCCTTCTTATTGTGGTTGAAAGCTGGGGTTGGCAAAGCATCGCCTGTTTGTTTAGCTCAGAAACTAGATTGTTTTTACATTTTTTCCCTAGTATGGCAGACAAACAAGCAAATAAACAAAACTCAGATGAAAGAAAGCCCCAAAAGCAAAGAAGACTAGGATTCAATACTGTGTGTTGCTTGCAAAGCCTAAAATATTTTCTATTTGGCCTTTTACAGAAAAGGCTTATTGAGCCTTGGTCTAAAGCTAGTTTTTGTAATTACCGCACAGATGAGCTGACCATTAATTCCTTTGGTGTGTCCAAGTGGGGCCTATTATTGTTAGAATACAGAATTAAGTTGTAGCTTTTTCTCCAGAGTCTTCTCCAGTGAGCTGGAAAGCATGTTATGGTTGTCTATTATAGCTGTGTAAATAGACAATGTATGCATGCCACCTATGTAGCTAAAATGAGTTGAATATAGACATTTTTAAATTTTAGGGAATGATTTTTCTAGCAAAGTAATCTGGAAAATGAATATATATTCTTTTCATTTGCACACAGCAGTGCAAATCCTTTTTTGTCATTGACTTCCATTATAAGATTGAAGCTGAGTGTTTTCTTGGAAATGTCCTGCATGTGTTGAAATTAAAAATCCTTGACCAAAGCTTTAAGCTCACAGTGAATTCTGGCATGTTACCTGCACCTGCCAACAGCCTTGCTTGGTGGCTTATTTTTCCTTTGGAAAAGTTTCCTGATTCACACAGCTCTTCCCTATCCATGCCCGCTCCCATCCACATCTGGTTCCGGCCCTGCGTGGGCTCTGGGTGGAGTTGTACATGTGCAGTGCAGGCCCTACTCTCAAAGCACCTCCAGTTCAATCAGGCACACAGATAAAAAAACAGACAAATCACAGCAAAGTAGCAGGCGTTCCCTCTCTTCTTCTGCCCCCACCCCTCTGCTCACAGCTGCCTTGGCCTCCCTGCTCTTCCATTTCATGCCCTTGCCTGAGTGTTCTTTCTCCAGATTCTCCTGCCACCTGTGGCTCATTCCCTTAGCTCTTTTGGGTCCTTGCTGAGATTCACTCAGCCTCTCCAATTAGCACTCATGAAAGTTGTCCCCATCTCCACCCTGGCCATCCCTGTTCACCTTTCCATCTGACATATGTATTCTGAGACATTTGTCTATTGTCACCGCTCATCTGTTTTCTTTCTCTGTCTTTCATCCCTCCCCTCCTTTACTGGTGCCCCTTCAGATCATGAGCTCTGTGAGGCAGAGACAGGGGATTTGTTTGTCTGGTTCACTGTGGGGCTCCCCATGCCTAGAACAGCACCTGGCACATGCTGAGTAGAGGAATGAATGAAGTGGGCAGAGCATAGAGCTGTGTGATCAGAGCATGCCTGGAAGATGGGGCAGCTTTCCGGAAGAAGAGATTGGCTTCTGGGAGCTTGCTTTCATCACAGGTAACCCTCACCCCTTAACTTACACTTGTATCTGCCCCCAGAACTTGAGGAATTTGTCCTCTACTTGAGGATCTCTGCTTCTGAGACGTATAGTTGCTGGTACTTTACTCCCCTCCTGTTCCTTTGTTCTAAGTTTGCTGGAATGGTGTCCTTTCTCAGTTTGAGCCTGACCTTAACAGTTACAGGGTATAGAAAATAGTTTACCATTGACTCTGGAACAGTGTGGGAATTGGTGGGCGGGGGGAGTCACCTCCTGTGCAGTTGAAAATCTGTGCATGTCTTGTAGTCCTAGATACTAGAGAGGCTGAGGCAGGAGGATTGCTTATGCCCAGGACTTTGAGGTAGTTGGGCAACACAGCAAGACTGTTTCTTAAAGAAAAAAAGAGAAAATAATGTGTATAGCTTTTGACTCCCCCAAAACTTGCCTACTAATAGCCTACTGTTGACTGGAAGCCTTACTGATAACATAAAACACATATTTTATATGTTGCATGTATTATGTACTGTATTCTTAGAATAAAGCTAGAGAAAATGTTGTTAAAATAATAAGAGAAAATATATTACTGTTCATTAAGTGGAAGTGGATCACTATAAAGGTCTTTATGCTCATAGTCTTCACGCTAAGTAGATGGAGGAGGAAGAGGAGGATTTGGTCTTGCTGTCTCAGGGGTGGCACAGGTAGAAGATTTGAGTATAAGTGGACCTTCTCAGTTCAAACATATTTTTCAAGGATCAACTATAGAAGTGTATTTTATAAAATTTTATATGTGTATACATTTGTGTATAAATATATAAACATATAAAATGTATAACACATAAATATGTAATTTTAAGTAGGTGAAGATTCTTTTTCATACATTTAAATGGATTTGTGTAGGACTTGGCATCTCTTTGGAGGAAGAAACCATCATTGCTGCTTTTGACATTCAAAAGCAAGGCCAGGGTGAGACAAGGATCTTCAGAGAGCCTGATGCTGGCTCAGGGTGGATGTGAGGAGAAAACGGAGAGGTATCAGCCCTCCCTTTGTGGATTAGAATTACTGAGAAGAATTGCTCAGTTGGGATAAAATAAGTATTTTACTTCCAGAGTTGCAGTCAGACTGGTGGGACCACATATTTACACCAAACTTCTAAATGAGTCGTAAAACTGACAGGAGTCCCAAGAGAGTTAGAGGCTAGCAGATTAAACTGGAAGCAGAGAATGATGGCATCTAGTGACACAAGGTTCAAAGGTGATGGAGGAAATATTTATTGGAAAATGCCAGCTGATTTCTTTGTGAATGGGTTCTTTTTGCAAAAGCCAGAACAAACATTCTGGCCCTGGGGTGAGGATAATATTTTTTCTATCCTGAGCCTTGCTTTTTGTCGTTCACCTCTGGAGTTTTGTAAATGGATGTGTGACTTCCTGAAAAGGGCAAGGACAGTTCGTAGTTATGTGTCTCTGAGCAGCAGCGGTTGTTGCAGATATGTGTGTATCCCCTCGGCCTCAGGGGTCCATGAAACAGAGCATCTCCTCACCTTTGCCCCTCTGGAGCCGCCACTCCCTTCTCTCTGAAGTTCTAGACTGTTTTCAGCTGCCTGGTGGTCATCTCCAACATGAGTTTTTCTTAGCACTTTAGACTCTGTGTCCAGAAAAAACTCATTGCCCCCTCGTCCCACCCTGCACCTTCTGTCTCCTATTTGAGTAATGGTCCCCAAGTCTTTGAGTCCCCAAGTCCAATGATGGCATTACCCTTAATCCTCTTCTCTCTTCTTCAGCTGCTTGCTCAGTGCTGTAGGTTCAGCTTTTGCAGGCTTTAGATATTTCTTTCTCACTGACACCTTATGATAGAACATGGATGAACCTTGAAAATCTGCTAAGTAACAGAAGCCAGACATACTGTTTGTTTGCATTGATAAGAAATATCCAGAGTAGACGGATTCATATAGATGGAAAACAGATTCATGGTTTCCTGGGGTAGGGGAGAGGGGAGAAGGGGGACCGACTGCTTAATGGGTAGGCAGTTTCCTTTCTGGGTGATGAAAATATTTTAGAATGAGATAGAGATGGTGGTTGCACAACATGTGAATGTACCAAATGCCACTGAGTTGTGTACTTGAAAATGGTTAGTTTTCTGTTACATGAATTTTAACCTCAATTTAAAAAATTTTCTTTCTCCAATGTACCCATACTTTTTACCAGTCCCCCACCTCAGACGAGTATTTGAGAGCTGACAGTGTGGGCTGACCATGCATGTTGAATGTGTACAGAATTTCTAATCCTTCCCTTTTCTCTTCTCTCCTCTCCCTGCCCAAATTCTGACCATGTCACTCTGCCTAAACAGACAGACTTGCCTTGGCTTGTCTAACTCTTTGGCATGACACAGTGGACTGTTACCCCCTGGCCCATCTCCAGCTCCCTTTTGGGTTTCCCACACTAGGGCTGTAAACCCTGATCTGAAATGGAAGAGCAGTTCAAAAGGATGAATGGACTGTGCCCTCTGATTCTTTTTGAACTACTAGAGGTGTGTCTTTGAAAAGTTACTTTCTCTATTGATAAGAAAAGGGCTGATCTGCCTAAAATTGTCCCTTCTGACTAGCCAGCTTCCTTGCTGGCATCCTGTGCCTGTTCACTCTTGGAGTCTGTGCCCCCAGGCACCCCACATGCCCTCTGCTTGTATAAAGCTCAAACAATTTTCACCCTTGTTTTTTCAAATATATTTCTTCTAGTATTCAACTCTACCTATATCGGAATCTCTCAAAATGTAGAAAATGGTTAACCTTGGCTTACTTTCCACTTCTTAAAGATTGCCCTAATTCTTTCACTGAACAATATTTCATTCTCCCCTCAATTTTTTGAGTTCTAATACATGCTAGACACAAATATCAACTAGCCAGATTAGCCAGCACTTACAGGAGACCAGAGACATGTTATAGATCATTCCAGTGAGCTCAGGTTATTGAAGAGAGTCCCAGGGAACCAACTAAGAGACGACTTCTTGCGGCCGCCTTTCATCATATTCAGAAAATGACATGGATTCTCTGGGTTTGGTTGAGACTTCTTTTGTGTATAGTCAATCATCAGATTTTGTAATGTTTCCTGTGTGCTTGAGAGGAATGTGAATACTCCAGTTTTAGGGTACAGACTTTGATTTAAATCTATTAGACTGAAGACTTCAAACTTCAGTTGTAACCCACAGCAAAAAGGGTGTCATCAGTCAATATACAACTGTAAAGAAAGGCTCAGCAAAGTAATGCTTTCCTTTGTTATTCGGGGTGCACTCCGATATTTTCCATTTAGTCAGCTAAAAATTTTTTAAATGGTGGTTATAAGATTAATTTATAGTTCATAGTATATTGTTACAATTTGGAAAAATGTATTGACTCATTTGCTCACTGTATTCAAATTTTCTATATCCTTTGTAGTTTTTGATCCCATTATAATCATGCATTTTAATTTTATTCTTGTAATTTGTCAAACTTTGCCTTTAATTTTGATGCCATATTTTTAA